TACAACGTGGACGGCTGCTGTAAATTCTAGACTGATGCAAAGCCCCTCCTCCTCTCTTTTCCTTGTTCTTGATCCAGGTATTTTTTTTCCCCTCCATATCCCACCCACCTTCTGCCCCCACTGTAGCAGTCAGTTGCCCAGCAACCTAGAGAGGCAGCTTCACCACTGAAGAGTCCTGGATTTAACCCGGAACTTTTAACTTGATCTTCGATCTTTGCACTGTACCTAGCTCCCAGAATGAGGGGATGGCTCCTGAGGTGTTGGAAAGAAATCACAAGACAAAGAGCCTGATGCACACCTACTTTCTGAGAACCTAGAGGTTTCTTCCTCTAGGTTAGTGTACCGTTTGCCTCACACCTGTTCCCCTACAAGTAACAGTTCACCTGACTCTTCATTCCCTTTCATTCTCCTCATGGACTCAGGTAGCAAATGAATTTCATTACCATAAGCGAGTTAGGGGGATAATCCAATAGCTTGGTACTTTGTCCCTTCTTTCCAATGCGGCATGCCCACGAATCAGGATGAGATCGACTCCTTTTAGGCTGCTTTTCCTCAAAATTAGGTATAGGTCCCTGATACTTGAAGGTAGCTCTAATCAACAACAACCCCCTCTCCTTTCCCCCTGCCTTTCTTGCTCTCTGCTCTCTCTTTCTCCCAGTAATTATTTACTTGACTGTATTCCACTAAATTGTATTTTTTTCTACATTCGTGGTGCTAGCATGTGCATATGCAGATTCCCTGGAGGAAAGTGTTTTCCTTTCCACAAGGTGTCCCCCTGAGGCTAGGGACACAAAGATACCAGTGTGTAAGATTACACACATGGAGTCAGAATCTTTTGCACATAGAAGGTGATAAGTGCACGTGGATGGAGTCATCACCCCAGGGAAGCCAGTGGTCCTTGAGGAGGAGTTTTGATCTGGAATGATGTCCATCAGCAGGAATAAAAGTGGAAGGGCCTTCCAACCCTGGAGAGTGAAATACAAGGAACAGGTGGAAAGGAGGAGCTTGTGGATCCCCAAAGAATTTCCACTTGGTTATCTTGTTGATCAGTAGCAGCCTGAGACTCCCTGGAGGCCTGAGAGTCTGCATCTGTTTTGTTGTTGTAGTTGTTGTTGTTTTTTGGTCAGGGGGCCAATCCTAATAAACCTTCCTTTTCAACCTGACAAGCCTTAAGATTTCTTTTCTCTGGAAATCATTATCCTACCCACCCTAGCCAGGAGGCTGGGAGGACTTGTTCAAAGGCAGGACATTAGGATTCATCATCCATATATGAACCTTACCATCAGAAAATACTTAGTTGGATGCTTGTCATATAATCTGAATAATTATACTCCTGTGACGGTAAGGGCTCAGTGGACTATCAGGCTAATCAGAGGGAGAAACAAACACATGGTTGGCTTGAAATTTTGTGCCTATCCTGATAAAAGTTCAAAGCACTTGCCTGAATGCTAAAGTTGCTGGGACTCACAGATCAGCTGAGTTGTCATTGTCCCTGGTCAGAATAGACAATGTCTGAGATGCACATCTATTAAGTATCCCTGAATGCCTCCCAGTAAGCAAGACCAATTTACTATTAAACTAATTCCCAGACAAAACCTGTCGCAAAAAGACCAAGAGAGAACTGGATAGTCTGGAATCATGCTTGACATTTGTGTGACCCTGTTTGTGGTTTTGTTCAGGCAGCTGAGTTACTCTTTTTCTTTTTCTTCCTACCTCTCTCCTGTCAGTATAGCTAGCAAAAGTCATTGGCTAAAAGCATGCTGAATTGATTTTTGTTGTTGTTGGTTGTGGGGCGTGAACTCTGGGCCTGGGCGCTGTCCTCAGCTTCTCAGCTCAAGGCTAGTGCCCTACCACTTGAGCCACAGCACCCACTTCCAACTTTTTTGTTTATGTGGTGCTGAGGAATCGAACCCAGGGCCTCATGAATGTGAGTCAAGGACTCTACCACTGAGCCACCTTCCGAGGCCCAGAAATTGATTTTTGAAAGATGGAAGTGATACAAAAATTGTCTGGTGATGGGCTGGGAAGGTGGGTTCAGTGGTAGAGCGCTTGCCTTGCATGCCTGAGGCCCTGGGTTCAATTCCTCAGCACCACATAAGCAAAAAGAAAAAAGCCGGAAGTGGCGCTGTGGCTCAAGTGGTAGAGTGCTAGGACAGCGCCCAGGCCCAGAGTTTAGGCCCCATGACTGGACCCCCCCCCAAAAAAAAATTGTCTAGTGCCAGTGGCTCACACCTGTAATCCAAGCTTCTGAAGATCCTGGTTCACAAGCCCAGCAAAGAAATGCTGATCTCTAATTTATTAGCAAAAAGCCAGAAATAGAAATGTGTTTCAAGTGGTACAGTGCCAGCCTTCAGCGAAAAAGCTAAGACAGAGCTTGAGGTTTTGAGTCTAAGCCCCAGTATTGTTGTGCACAATTGAAGAGGATTCTTGGGAAGCTCGATGGTTCTTGAAGAAGGGGTCTTGGTGGAAGAGAGTCTTCTACATACCTGGACTACTAACTGTTCAGCCTGTTTCCCTGGCCTGGCTGCTCTACCCATTGACTGCTTCCTCTTGCATCCCTGGGAGCTGGCCTGAGTTGTCTCCTTCCTGGATTTCATGTCTCTGTTCCCGCTTAAGATTAGAAATGGACGAAAGTGGTGCTGGTAGCTCAAGTCTGTAATCCAAGCTACTCCAGAGGCTGAGATCTGTGGATTGTGGTTCAAAGCCAGCCTGGTCAGGAAAAACTGTGTGATTTTTATCTCCAGTTAATCACCAGAAAACCAGAAGTGGTACAGCACTAGCCTTGTGTAAAAGAGCTCAAGGACAGCACCCAGGCGCTGAGTTCAAGCCCCATGACTGAAAAAAAAAAACAGCAACACAAAAAAAAATTAGAAAGAAATAGGTGAATATTTCTTGGTTTTGGAGTCGTGACTATCTGGGCAGGCCACAGCAAAGGTAGCTTATCACCTTTTTTCTTCCCATCATTGTCATTCCTTACAGTAGTTAGCTACCTCAAGCTATTCTACTACCTCTTTTAACTCAATCACATTGCTAAACTGTTGAGTTTCTGCAAACTCAACTTTTTATTCTCTTAGAAAGCTAAATGGGGGCTGGAAAGTTGGCTCAGTGGTAGAGCGCTTGCCTTGCATGCCTGAGGCCCTGGGTTCGATTCCTCAACACCACATAAGCAAAAAGAAAAAAGCCGGAAGTGGTGCTGGGGCTCAAGTGGTAGAGTGCTAGGACAGCACCCAGGCCCAGAGTTCAGGCCCCAAGACCGGACCCCCCCCCAAAAAAAAAGCTAAATGGATTTGGAAGGTTTTTTTGGGGGGGGGTCTGGTCATGGGGCCTGGGTACTGTCCCTCAGCTCTTCAGCTCAAGACTAGCACTCTACCACTTGAGGCACAGCGCCACTTCCGGCTTTTTTTCTTTTTGCTTATGTGGTGCTGAGGAATCCAATCCAGGGCCTCAGGCATGCAAGGTAAGCGCTCTACCACTGAGCCACCTTCCCAGCCCCGTATTTGGAAGATTTGGAAGTTATTTAACATCTTCCCTTTCTACCTCCCTGTAGAAGGGACTCTGTGCCAAAGACCTAAGGTGCTCTTGGGAAATGGGGGATCCTTTGGAATCCATGACTGTAGTAGGGTGCCACCACACCCTATATCCCACATTTATCTGGACTAGTGAACTCAAGACTTACTAGTCAAGTGCTCTACTGCTTAAGACTTGCCTCCAGCCTGGCCAACGCTATTGCTAGTCCAGTGCTGGGTTGCTAGCTCTTCTTTCATTGCTGCCTTCTCTACATGTGCTCCACAGGCAGGAGCTGTTACTATGGAAATGTATTATTTTTAAAAACAGATGTCGCCTCAGGCTTGAGAAATAGCTCAACATCAAACCCACTTGAGCAAGGAGGTAAATAGGAGGTGTTCTTAAGTTCTAGCTCCAAAGAGAAAGGGAATGGTGGTGGTGGAGGAAATTCTTCCACTTGTTCTCGACCACGTTCCGCTTCTGCTTTCTCTCCGTTGCTATCAGCTGGACTTTTGCCAGGCCTTTTTATCTGGGAGGAAACCCCTGCACTTCCTTATCCAGAGCCTAGCTTCAGAGAAGGTCTAGCCTGACAGTCATGGGAGAAGGGAGTGATGATTTCCGCAGGGGTCGACTCCTTTTTAACCCACCAAACTTCCATGTGGCAGTGTATGAAGCTTGGGGGGAAGCAGAGGTGTTAGATCAGGCAGTCAGATCGCTTTGAGCTTGTCTGGGGAGGGGTGCACCCCGACTGCGGGACGGGGCGGGACCGTCAGAGATCCCGCCTAGTTTTCAATCGTGGAACCCGCTGGCCTCGCGGATGTCCTTGCCCCGCCCTCCTCTGACTAGCAGAAAGCCGGGCAGGCTAGGCCCCGCCCGGGGCGGGCGCGGCTCCTTTAAGGGCGGGTGGGGGCGGGGCGTCGGCCGTGTTGTCAGTGTCAGCTCTGCGCACGCAGCCGGAGCCGGAGCCGGAGCCCGAGCCGGAGCCGGAGCGCCCCTGCAGCGCCGGGCCTGGGGCGGCGCTCACGGGGTCCCAGCGCCTGGCCTCCTGCCAGCACAGCAAGCGAACAGCTGCGTGGAGGAATCAACCCAGGGATGGATGGACAGACAGAGGGATGGTGAAAGAATTGGAGGAGTAAGTGTGTGTGTGTGTGTGTGTGTGTGTGTGTGTGTGGTGGGTGATGGATCGTATATGGATGGATGGGTGGGTAGAGGAGAGGAGGGTCAGATGGTGGATGGGTAGATGGGAGGTGGA